CAGAAGTATGAGATACCGTGGCACTTATGGGATATGTCAATACACAAGTCCTCACTTGACATTATCAAGGAGGGAAAATAGCCTATTTAAGAGGGATTTGTGGTCTTCCTTTACCTTGCTTAGATACTCTCTCATAACCTGAATGAAGTACGGCATGGCGAAGTCCATGATGTTGTGCCTCCATGCAGTTTCCAATACTACATCTGGCCGGAGAAGGTCATAACAGGTAAAGAGACAAGCAGCGAAACATTCCTTCTTCCCTTCCACCAAAAACCATTGCAGAAGTTCTTCTGCCAGCTCTGTATCTTTGGATTCAGAGGCATACTGCATAGCATCCTGTGACATGAGGAGACCATAAGAATTAAAATATATAAAGTCACTTTGCAATTAGAATTTCCAAAGAATAAAAGTAATGTAACAGCAGTAGTTTGTTTTGATTAAGTAAAATACTTCCACTACATCACCATAATTTGAAACAAGTGGAAATAAGATCCTTCATAGCCCTACTATTAATCAGAGACAAAGGCAACATACACCCAAAATAAAATTTGTTTTCATCTAAATGGATACATGCACCAGACAAGGAAAGTGACATATACATAAGGTTGGTTTGTAATAGAATAAAAGCAAAATGAGATACCTTAAAGGATAATGAAAAAGTTACTACTTTAACCACTTAAGGACTGAACCAAATGTACACGTTGTGATCAAAACAAAACTTAAACAAAATCTGGAATTTGACTATATGTCTGTTCAACCGTAATTCGACTTTCATTTTAAGTGCACCCAAAGTCTTTATATATAAAAGTTTATTCATGGGAAACAGGGCTTTCATTTAACATCAAATATTTAGGTATGAAACAATTTAAAGGGACACTATAGTCACCCAGACCACTTCAGCTCAATGAAGTGGTCTGGGTGCAAGGTCCCTCTAGGGTTAACCCTGCCTGCTGTAAACATAGTTTCAGAGAAAATGCTATGTTTACATCTGGGGTTAAGCCAGCCTCTAGTGGCGGTCTTCCGGACAACCACTAGAGGCGCATCTGCGACGCTGGAGGCATATTATGCCTCCATCACGCAGAGCGTCCATAGGAAAGCATTGAGAAATGCTTTCCTATGGACACTTTGAAAGTGCTTGCGGCACTGCAACGCATGTGCATTCTGCTCCGCTGAAGTCGGCAGGGATGAGAGGTAAGGGAGCCCGGCGGTGGAATAAAGTGAGTAACAGAATGGGTTTTAACCCCTTCAGCACCACGGGAGGGGGACCCTGAGGGTGCGGGCACCCTCAGGGTATTATAGTGTCAGGGAAACCGATTTGTTTTCCTGACACTATAGTGATCATTTAATATGAATAAAATATAAAAAAAAGGGGAGAATTTTTTTTAGTTCTACGTGACATTTTAACTGTGAATGTCATAATATGGTTTGTTTTTACTGCAATAAAATACACATTTGTATTCATCGATGTCTCACGTGTCAAACAGTACCCCCTATGTACAGGTTTTATGGTGTTTTGGGAAATTAAAGGGTCGAATATAGCATGTTAAATGTTTCCGTTTTTTCACATTGAAATTCGCCAGATTGGTTACATTGCCTTTGAGACCGTATGGTAGCACAGGAATGAGAATTACCACCATGATGGCATACCATTTGCAATAGTAGACAACCCAAGGTATTGCAAATAGGGTATGTCCAGTCTTTTTTAGTAGCCACTTGATCACAAACACTGGCCAAAATGAGTGTTAATATTTGTTTGTGTGTGAAAAAAGCAAAAAACTATCGTATTTTTCGCTCCATAAGACGCACTTTTTCCCCCCTCAAAAGTGAGGGGAAATGTCTGTGCGTCTTATGGAGCGAATGTGAAGCTTTACTTACCTGTCTTGTAGCGTGGCCCGGCTTCACAGCGCGCTCCGCGGTACAGGAACTTCAATTTTAGGTTCCGGCGGGACTGAAAGGAAGTCTGCACACTGAGTGGGGGGACTCTATGGGACAAGGAGAGGGGGGGGGACTCTATGGGACAAGGAGAGGGGGGGAGGGGGCACACACTGTGGGGCACACACTGTCGCGACAAGGGGCACACACTGTGTAAGGGGCACACTGTGCGACAAGGGGCACACACTGTGCGACAAGCACACACTGTACTGTACAAGGCACACACTGGCAAGGGGGCACACACTGTGCGACAAGGGGGCACACAGTGCGACAAGGGGGCACACACTGTGCGACAAGGGGGCACACACTGTGCGACAAGGGGGCACACACTGTGCGACAAGGGGGCACACACTGTGCGACAAGGGGGCACACACTGTGCGACAAGGGGGCACACACTGTGCGACAAGGGGGCACACACTGTGCGACAAGGGGGCACACACAGTGCGACAAGGGGAAGGGGGCACACATGGACAAGGGGGCACACACAGGACAAGGGGAAGGGGGGACACACTATGGGACAAGGGGAAGGGGGGGACACACTATGGGACAAGGGGAAGGGGACACACACTATGGGACAAGGGAAGGGGACACACACTATGGGAGGGAGAAGGGGACACTATGGGACAAGGGGAGGGGACACACACTATGGAACAAGGGGAAGGGGGACACACACTATGGAACAAGGGGAAGGGGGACACACACTATGGAACAAGGGGAAGGGGGACACACTATGGGACAAGGGGAAGGGGGACACACTATGGGACAAGGGGAGGGGGGACACTATGGGACAAGGGGAGGGGGGACACTATGGGACAAGGGGAGGGGGGACACTATGGGACAAGGGGGGGAAATATTTTGGGATGAGAACACTATTGGACAAGGGGAGGAGGGGTTAACAATCACTATGGGACAGAGGAAAGGGGGATTAAAATAACTATGGGGGGGGGCGGAGCCTGACTGCTGAGCAGGACAGACGTGCTGCAAACCAGCTCCTGCAAAAAACGACAACAATGGGGAAAAATACCCCAAACACAAAATCACCCACAAGTCAGAGGGCATGGGACGAGCTGGGGAAACCCGGGGGCATCGAAGGAACCCACAAACGAGACTCACACTGCCCGGGATCCCACGCAAAGCACATGGGGCCTACATGCGGCCGAGCCAGGGAGAGACGGCCGCTCTTCTGGATGGTAAAACCGCACACACACCCGTCAGTGCACCAGCCTTCCTCCCCCCTCCCCCCCTGGGCCGGCGGGGGTCATCCCGGCCCGCACTCGACATCCACAATCACCAGAGACAGCAGTACAAGCCTGACCCTGACAAGCAAGGCTACAACCTCCTACAAGGCGCACCTAAAATGGCGGCCGGCAGCGGGATATGCAGGATGACCATGCGACCGACACAACCGCGCTGGAGAGACCCACTGCAAAGCTTAGAGGTGATACTGACCCACTTCTGGGATATCCACACACAGCGGCAACAACCAACGGGGGAAGGGACCTCACAGCGCCCTGGACCCACATGCCAATCCCTCAGAGCCGGCGTCGGCTGACCAAGATGGCATGACCTAGAGACAGTCTGTGCCCCTGCAGCAGAGACTCTGCACGATCCCACCGCACAGTATGTCTCGCACTGAGCTCAGAACTGGCCCTAACATCTCACAGCAGAGACTGTAAGATACATATAGCAGCAGTGGAGCAAGCAACACAATATAATAACCACAGGCAATTAGCTTGTTAACCATAGATCATTTAGCCGCTGTTTATCCTTTGCACCTGTGTTCTAATGCATGTCAGTATCTACCTTTAAAAATGTGCAGATTCCACTAACTGCTTTTGAATGTTACCATTGTTTTTATGCAGGGCACCTTTATGCTCAGAGTGAATAGAAACAGGGCTACACAATGAAGGCTAACTCTAGCAATGTTAACTGCTGCATGTTGTGTCTAAGCTTAAATACACACAGTTTAACTTTTTAATGTAGTTTTACATCAAGTTACTGCTAACTGCAACCGTGCTTATACAATATGACTACGAATTTAACCTGAATCCACTCTCTAAGCACTTGACTACTCCAATCTCTAGAACCACTGTATGTTTACTGTCTCAAGCTTGAAACCCCATCGTGACCCACCGCAACAGTCATACAAAGCTAGCCTGTATATAGCATGTTTAAAATCTTTAAAGTGTCCCCAGTCTGTTATTTTTCTCATTACAAAAGACGACGCAACTGTTTAACCAAACTTGTTAAAAAAAAAAAAAATTTTTTAAATGTGCAGACTCTCATGCCACTGTTATACCAATGTATATTTTCCAATACGCTGTTGTGGCGTCTATTGATTCCTTGTACCTACCTGCACAGCAAAAATAAAGAATTTTAAAAAAAAAATAAAAAAAAAATAACTATGGGACGGGGAGGGGGGTTTAAAGATAACTATGGGACAGAAGAGGGGGGTTAAAGATCATTATGGGAGAGAAGAGGGGGGTTAAAGATCATTATGGGACATGAGAGGGGAGTGGGTGGTAAGGAACAAAAGATTCCTTAAAAAAAAAATCTTCTGAACAAACTGTCCCATAGTAAGAAACACTATGGAACAGTTCAGAATATTTTTTTTCTGGGTTTCCTCCTCTAAAAACTAGGTGAGTCTTATGATGACGTGCGTCTTATGGAGCGAAGAATACGGTAATTTGAACGCCAATTTTGGCCAGTGTTTGTGACTAAGTAGCTACTAAAAAAGACTGGACATACCCCATTTGCAATATCTTGCTGTTTTGAAACACTAATATTTGCGAGGTCTTCCGAGTAAAACAGTGCCCCCCCCCATGTACAGGTTTTATGGTGTCTTGGAAAGTTACAGGGTTAAATATAGTGCTTGCAAATTAAATGCTCTGCAGTTTCTGCCTGGGTTGTCAGGCATGTCCGTCACATTTTTATAAAATCACATAATTATGCTAAAAGATTACTTAAATATACACGTAGAATTTTAATACATATACATGTATTTAAATTCTACATTTATACTTATGTAATCATTAATGTAAATATATATATATTTGCAGTTATTTGTAATATCTCTCTCTCTCTCTCTATATATATATATATATATATATATATATATATATATATATATATATATATATATATATATATATATATATATATATATAGAGAGAGAGAGAGAGAGAGAGAGATAGAGAGTCATTCTAAGTGTATTTTGTTACATATATTAACAAAATACAGTTAGAATGAAATTACATATGTATATACAATTTATTTTCATTTAAAAAAATATTTTATTTATTTTATTGTAATTTTACATATATAATATATAAGTATTATTTAACATATATCTTATGTATATGTAACTTCATTCTTCAATATTTTAATACTAATGTATGTACTTATATTAATATTAAAATACACTATGTATGAATATATATATATATACATATATATATATATACACACACACACACACATACACACATATATATACATACATATACATATTTAATTTAATCTAAACATGTTTAATAATTTATTTATTTTTTTTACACTTCCCACCAGCGGGGGGACTGTGACAGCCCTGACAGTCTCCCTGCTGGCAGATCCACAGCCAGCTATAGGGGGCCATGTGAAAGCTATTTGAGAGCGATCACATGGCCCCCGGGGGGCTCATTTGCCGGGGGAGGGCTGCCTGGGCTGTGGATCGCTGGGAAGGTAAGTATTCCCGAGGCTCCAGGGCGGCAAGCCGTTACGGCATTCTATGCCGCCGCATCGGCTTTAAAGCCCATTTAAATGGGGACGGCATAGAACGACGTAACGGCGTTAAACATATTTGTGTTGAACAAAACATTAAGCAAATGAGAATTACTGCCTATTCCCAAGGTTTTTACTGCTCTTACACAATAGAAACCTTTTATATATTTAACATATTTCACACTATATGTCACAAATTGCATTAGGAATTGAGCATGACAAATTGTTGTATTTTAGACAAGTTTAAGAATAAATATTATATTAAAGATATATTAAGTGGCTTAGTATGCATGATAAAGGAGGCGTATGTGTAGGGAAAATGCTGTAAGTAAAGCCTTCTAGCTGCTGTATTCTGCTTCTTAAAGACTTGGACTTCAGCAGCAGAAAGCACAAGGAGAGAGCATTTTCTGAAGTCAAAAGTATTCCCATAGGCAAGAGCCAACACTTTCAATTTGTTTTTCTAACACAAAATTAAAACAGTACCTTGTAGAGTCTGTCTTTCTTGCAAAGTTCCACACTTTGTTTCCAGCGATTATTACCCTTGAAAAGGTATGCAGCAATTCTTCGAAACTCAATCAGTTCATGCTTCTCCAAACGTTGAGCAAGGGAAATATTATCAAAGTTGTCATATGCATCTATGGATGTGCGAAGTGCCTTAAAATTAAAATGGAAAATTACTATTGCTTTAAAATAAGCATGTCTTTTTTTGTGTGATAAAACAAAATTTAGGAGTTGTACCTGGTAATCCTCTTCTGTAATGAACAGATTATTTAGAGACTCGTTAACAGATTTGTTGTTATGGTTTTGAACGGAACGCAGATATGGTTTAACAAGAGGCAACTGTTTCACCTTAAAAAAGGGAAATAAAAAGTTTCAGGATAATTTTTAACACAAAAGTTTGGCGATCAAATTACTCTTTGAATGGATGGTTTTTAAATTATGATAAGGTAGATATACAAGGATGTGCATTCATTTTGAAATCCCTATTATGAAATATAAAGTTCACTTCTTCTTGTTCCCTATGGTTTCCAGTATCATTTGGAAATAAGGAATTTCCTACTAACTGGAGGATGAATAACCTCATATACAATAAACACTTGAAAAAAAACATTAATATTGCTTGCAAATAATTTGGAAACATAAGGGAAACTAGTACTATGTAGACAAATGTTACAAAAGTTAAGGTTGTAAAATGCTAAAATAAAATACAAAAGTCTGGAATGGAGGTAAGTAACTAGGTTATGAGAAATTCTTCAGAGTGGAGTATTAGAATTCACCTTGCTGAAAAAGTTGACAGCACGGGTATGGTCTAGCCTTGGAGACAGCACCATCAGGAGATCATTCAGCAGCAGCGGTTTAAATTCCAAGTAAAACTGAATTGCTCTGTAATACAGCTCTACATTGGCCACCTGAAAAAAATATACATGTACACGTTGAAATTCACGAGAAAATGAAAAAACAAATAGGTAACAATATAAAGCTTTGTAAATTAAGCAAAAAAATACAAAATAATAAACTGAAGTAGTTTATCACAAACTTATAAATCATATAGTCCCTCCACATGACAAATTTAGTGCTTTTATAAAATTGTCATCAAATATAGAATATATGTATCAGAATACCACTTACTTTATCAAGCAGTAGAGTGTTGCACAGGTATAAAACATTACACAACTATACAATTAACAAGCAACATTATTTTCATAAAGAGCATTTCCTATAACAAATTAGAATTCAAAATTGAATTTACCTTTGTTATGATATCTTTAAATTGCCCTTCTTTCCATGCATCTGTGGGGTGACTCATCATAGTGATAATAGCATTATCATATTCTTCATATTTATCATACAGGAACACCAACTCTGCCCATAGATGAGCTTGTTCTGCTGCTCTCAGCACCTGTGAAAATAGAAGGAATATTGTGTAAATATATAAATTTCATGACCAAGAATATTAAAAGAACTGTCCACACACAACACTTTAGCTTGCTGAAGTGCTTTGTGTTTAAAGATTTATTTACGTGACAGTTTATGAAGGTGCCAATTTCAATAAAAATCGATACTTTTATAATCGGGTACAGAAACACCTCCCTGACTATCAAACAGACAGAGAGGCTTTCTTCCTCTTCGGTTAGCTCCACAAAGCTAACAGAAGTAGCAGGCACGCTGTGGTAGAGAGCTCTTCAACCCTTTTCAATTAGTTTTTCGTAAACGCCAAAGAACACATACCAGAGCAAACAAACGTGGATGCTTTCTTTGGAGGTATAGCTATTAAATTGTTTAAAACAAAAGTCACTGAATTGTTCCTTTAAATGAACAGCATACTGTTGTACTTAAAAGGTCAGCATGCACATAATAAGATTAACAAATGTCAATTGCATGATAAATATATAACAAATTAATGTTTCTAAAGAGAAAATTGGAAAGCTCCATAAAGTATTAGATACTGACTTTCCCTCAAATGTAAATTAGCATTGCAATGACAAAGCTCCTTCCTAATGGTTTAACAGTGCAAGTATTATTCAACTGCGCAATCAGAGAAGAAAGTCTGGTGAATGCAGAACTTGTCGGGGAAGGGGGGGCAGGGGCAAATGTCCACTCTGAAAGGCAGTTGAATATTAGTGTAAGTTTAGCATGCAAAGTCAGTGTACTGTCATTGAACTGAATTTTAAATTCAGTGAATCATTATCCAATTTAAAGAATAATGCATTGAACTAGAAAACGCCTTTATTGCACTGATGAAAGTTATTGAAGCACCAAGCTTGTGGATAAGCTTACATTACCTTAGGAATATTGACTCGTGACCAGAACAGCTCCAAATGCTCTCTCATTTTTTGTGGCTTGAATTTGGAATAAAGAATTGCTAATTCTGTGAACATTCCCATATGTGCACGTTCCAGACCCAAAGCTGCTTCCAGCATGGTGATAAGTTCTTCAAAATACCCACGATCCTAAAAAGAATTTAAATTTAAAAATGAATATTAAACGATCAGGAAGAAAAAAGGTGAATTGAATTAAAATTTGAGTTCCAAGTCAAGAATGTAACATATCAGGGCTATGCAATTATGAGCTTTAAAAAAATACATTTTAAATCTTCAAGCTCAGCAACTAACCTTTAGATAAAAGGCTACTCTAAAACAAAGATTTCAAATGAGCCAAGTAAATGACTAAACAACATATTCAATATATTCCTGCAAGTATTAGTCATCAAGTCTTTTATTCACAATGTTCCATAATACAGCAAGCAGAGTATAGTACATACAGCAAATTTACAGAACCTTAACTAATTACTTGAGGAACATGTTTAATACTATTTTGCTATGGAAAAATAGATCTATATGACAAACCTGCACTGCAAGCTCACCTGGTAATAATTTATTAACTCCTCCAGTTCATCTGCATGTACCACAATGTGGAGACCGCACATCTGAGCCAGACGGAACTCTTTGCCATCAACACAAGCAAAACAAACCTTAAAAACATAGAAAACTTGTTATTATCTGTGATTTTGTTGAAGAAATTCTAAACAACCAGGGCTATTGTTTATCACCTCTTTCCAAGTGCGTGTACTGTTTGCCTTGCGTGCACCATCAACAGCAGCCTGATACTCTCCCAGGTGAACCAGTGTGGATGCCAAACGACCAAAATTTGAAACATTGTTATACAGAAGCTTAGCAGCATCGTACATTTTTTCATCATAGCAGCGGTCACCAACCTTAAGGAAATATGGAACACATCAGAACCCAAAGTTTTAAGTTTGTCACCTTTAACTTTTTCAAAGACTGTGGAGTAAATTCAATAAATATTTCAAAAGGTAGATTTTTTTAGGGTGTACATTAAATGTTCTACAAGCATGCTATCAGAGGGAACAGATTTACAGACTTGTAGAAAACCAAGAGAAACAAGTGGACATCTAACCACACTAATACATGCACCCCCTGCAAATATTTATGCTACTGCACAAAAGGCATCTGTCTTTCTCTATAGATTAAACTAGTGCTACTTACTTGTTGAATGTGAGCATTGTTTGGTCCGTTTATAAACTCCTCAAGTTCTGTGAGACGGTTGGTTTTAGCAAGAGCAAAAATTAGCTCAGTTTCCACATAGGATTCTCGTGCCTTCTTTCTCGCCATCTGTAGGTACTTAACCAATTCTTCCCAATTACCTGTAGAAAGTTAAATTATGGATACAACTCAGCAATGCAGATAGTAAAAATGTAGCAAAAACTATGCATTCAATCCATGTATTTAAAAAATACATTGACGGTTATGGATTTAGATGACAATGGAGTAAACACTTTACTTTACAGATAAATGAAGGTAAAACAAAGAATGTTTTAAAGTGCCTATTACTGAGCGCACACTATGATCTCTACCCTTTTCTCTCCGAGAAAAAGTAACATGCCACAAGCATACATTTCCACCAAG